CTGCTGATTGCTTATAAATACATATTTATAGATCGTAGACAAGAAGAAGAAGAGGAAGAAACAATTATATATCGCAGAAGATAATCACATCAAAGAGATATGAACCAGTGAAGGAAAAAATATCATTTATTGTTACAGATTTAATGGCCACTAGCTAACAACTGTGCAGGTAACTTGCATGTCTTCCTTGCTGTTATTTTTAAGTAAAAATCTATTTTCCCAAGAAATAAAGGCAGTTGCTTTGAGTTCAACAAATGCTGTTCTATATTTATTCCCAGCAGTCATTCTTATGGTTTATTTCCAAATCAAACTCTGAAAAGCTGCGCAAATTTTGATGTAAGCCTTCCTGTCTTGAGTCTTTTAAAATAAAGTGGTATTTAAGAAAGGGAACCTGGTTTGACTTAATTAAAATATTCAATCTTTCCTTCGCACAATAGACTGGCGTGGAAGCACAAACGTATTATATACTTGTATATTATAAATAAGCAAACAAGACGCGTTCTCCAATTACAATGCACTGCAATGTTGAGTGCAATGGCAAATGGGCAAGAGCAATCCAAGGGTACGCCATGGAGTGACTATCTATGAGTCTATTTTTTTATTCAAGTTCTCAAATTTTCAATCAGCTCCACATCTTTCGATGTGAAAGCATAAGAAAAAGACTGACGATTTCTGTTTAAAAATAAGACTCTAGGATTGCAAATTTGCAATTAAAGTAAGCGAGATTTCCAAAAGAGGATGAATATTTACAAATAACTGTAGAATCCAAAATATTAGTTGTTTCTGCTCCACTATTGCCGACATGCTTTTTTTTATCGAAACAGCTTTTTTTTTAATAAAGTTTGGTTTTAAATTTCTACGGAAATGCGGATTGTTTTTCCAACCCAAAGGTGGAATAAGTCCCTTTCCCTAATCCAGCTGCGACAGATGAAAAATTGCTTGAATCTGCTTTTGCAGGATTTAAATTATTATCGATCAAAAGGAACCACGCACTCGAGCTCTTTATTCACGGCCCACTTTCGTGTGCAACTATGAATCGCAAATGCAACCTACAAGTATGCTGCACATACTCGTACTCGTATGTGGAAATGATTTGCTGCTTTCGTGCTGGCGTACACGTAGTATGTATTGCTAAGATTTCAGTATTTATCACCCCAAAGTACAAGTATTCTTCAACGCTGTTTTTAAAAGTGCCTTTAAATAACCAGTAAAGGAAATTCTTCGTAACTGGCAAGACGAGTAGAGGCAGCAAAGCTCTTGTTTTTAAATTTGTCTGAAATATTTAAATATAAAGCCCTTACACAGAATTGTAGAAGATATGGCATGCCACATACCATAAGTTTGAGAAAGGATTCGTTAAACTCAACTCTTACAAACAATTTTAGTGTTTATTGTTTTTTTTAATTAACAATATGAATTTTTATTGAGCTTTTTCAGATGGGCTTATAATGGGTTATGAATATAAATAAAACACCATTTCAACATCCAAGTAACATTGTATTTACTAAGAGTAATAAATTCTTTAAGAATAGGACTTACTAATGGGAAATTGATTTGGCTGTGGAAACATTGCTTCCAATGCTTCCAATAACCACCTGTTGCTGCCACGTGCGATTCAAAGCGAGAGAGCGAGAGAGCGGGTGCGCGCCTCCTGCATCCACGCTCTCTTACCTCGCGTGAACTCAACACACCAGAGCCCGAAACTCAACACAGTGCGCCAAAGGCCAATGTCGTGTGGTCGGCCAATGTGAATGCGATGCGATTCAGTGCGCGATTGGCGGCCTGTCGGGTCAGTCAGGAGTCGTCGCTGCTGCGAAGCTGCTATGCTGCTATGCTGCTATTGCTATGTCCATGAACAATTTCCGTTTACATTTCAGACTGCATTCCCCCCCATTTCTGTCCAGTCTGTAGCTTTTAAGCTCGGCCCTTATAGCAATGAATATATAATTTTAGTGCATCCTAAAAATCCATGGACGCCCATAGCCAATCAGAATGGACGAAGAAATAAAGAGCGTCCTCACAAGTAGCATCCAGCAACAAAATGAAAATAGTTTTCACACAGAAGCGCGACAGCTACGCATATTATTAAAAACAAAATAAGCTCAAATTGTGATGGACTGATAGGGAGGGAGGGTGGAGGACTATGAAAATGTTATCGACGTATGCGCGCAAGTAAAATTTAATTTCACGCTTTGTAAGTTTTTTGCGCCATAAAATATATAATGATAATAAAAATGAATTTCTAATAAACTACAAACGGACGCTGAGCGGATTGCGAGTGACAGCCCGAAACGATGGAGCATGTTGTAGCGCTAGTTGTTGGTATTGTTGTTGTTGTTGTTGTGTATTTAGGCCCGAGCCCATATGCAATTTTAGTTATGCGCGAGCATGCGGCTACAATGCGTATACGTAATGCCATAAACAAGCAAGCAAAATGGTGAAAGGGGGGCCCGCTGTGTGTGTGTGTGTGGGGGTTTGTGGGTTTGTGTGTGTGAATAAGTATGTGAGTGTGCGTGAAAGTGAAGACAGCGTCGAAAGTGAAACTAATTTTTATTTATGAAAAAAGGGAAGCGCCACCCGAGGCATCAACAATGACAGAAGCAACAACAACCACACTAGCACTAACAACAACAACAACAACTAGCCGCTATGCTAGTCCTTGACGGACGGCAACGTCAGTTGTTCGCATTTAGCGTCGCGCGTGCCAAAAAAAAGGAGGAAAAGAATGCCAAGTATAATGGCAAGCAAATTGCAGAGACATACAAACACACACATGTGTGTATGTGTGTGCGTGTGTGTGTGTGTGTGTGCTACACAATGGCCCATGCATCCGTCCAGCCATAAACAATGAAATTTGTTGCTCACTTTTATGAGTTCCTTCCCTCAAACACCAAAAACGGAGACGGGCAGCAGCATCTTAGCATGCCTCCTAGGTTCCCCCACCACCATTCCTAGATGCTCACTGGCTCTAACCCAATGCATTGCCTCTCTGGCCCACTGCTCGACTGTCGAGTCCTTTTAGCCAATTTCAGTGTCTTACAATTTTCCGCATTGTCTCCGTTTTTGTGCTTATCCGTTTCCTGCGCCTGGCCACTTTCACGCCACTGTCATTGCTAAGCTTAAGTTGTTGCTGTTACTGTTGCTGTTGCTGTTACTGCTGCCTGTTGTTGTTTGTTGCTTGTTGGTTAAAAGCATCTTAGCGCTGGCAAAAAGCATATCAACATCCATACACACACACGGACACATCCGCTTTCGCTTGATGTTCACATACGCGTCTAACAAGTTGAGCCTTGCTCGACTGTCTGCCTGCAGGCAACATTTCCACATGCATACACGCAGAGAAAATACTGGTATTGAAGGTTGGCAGTAAATGGAGAGATACAGTTCAGGCAGTCGGGCAGAACTGATCGCCAAACCAGCAATGGGCTATGGCCACAAAGCCCCACATTACTAAGAAGTCGGCATTTCTCACACTCAAGCTATAGTTTATCAGCGAAATTCATGGCCCAGGAGAACTATAAGAAATAGTTTATTTATTAAAATTGTTTATTTCATTCATATATAATGTGCATAACGACCCATACAGGAATGGTTTCTAGCTGTTTGCCAAATAAATGGAATAAGGTAGTGGAACTAAAATTTGGTAGTCACATCCAGTTAGCGATTATATATGCGTATACCAAGTTTCATTATGATAGGTTGATGAGAAAGAAAGTTATAACCAGGCCCAAGCTGTATTTGTTGCTGCTTTGACATATTTATGTAATGCACGATTCTGATGTAAATGTATGTACGGACTATTTTTATACCCTGTACCCGTAGGATAAAAAGGGTATATTAGGTTTGTGCAAAGTATGTAACATACAGAAGGAAGCATCTCCGACCCCATAAAGTATATATATTCTGAATCAGCATGACGAGAGAAATCGATCTAGACATGTCCGTCCGTCTGTCCGTCCGTCTGGATGAACGCAAGGATCTCAGAAACTACAGAATTTCGTCAATAGCGTCCACATTTCAAATGCTACCTAAACCAAACTTTGGACACATAATTAATATATAATTATCTACTGTTTTATCTACTATTTTATCCATATCGGTCAAATCTAAGAAAAGTTATTAGCGAAACAAATTCTCGCCAGTACAACCCCACCAAACTGTAGCAACAAGTTCGCTCTTCTTCTTACTCTTGTTGCTGCTGCTATGGGCGCATATACCTCAATGTCGGAAGCTTACCTGGGTACAGGGTATTGCACTGTCGGGCTTGCTCGACTGAAGCGTTCTCTCTTGTTTTATATTTAATTAAATTAATTAATTACAGGGTATTTAAGAGTTGAGCCTGCTCGACTTTAGCATTCCTTTCTTGTTTATTTTCAAACCGTGTTAAAATAAAAATAAATCAAAACAGTATTTGTGGACAGGGGAGTTTGCCGGGCGATGTTTCATCGTATTCCGATATCGATTAAAAGATACTACACTAAACAACAGACTGATTTATCGAGTACTTCGATTGTTCCGCGTTTGTAGACAAAAACCGAAAAGCGCGATTTCAATCCATAATACGGTATTTATTTTTGCTCAACACGGCAGTGCAATATTTTTGTAGTATCGGAGTCGTCATAACAGCCCGCCTCTGAAGCAGAGTTTAAGTCGCCATTAATAAAAGTATAAGAAGCGAGTTGCCGTGGTAGAGGGACTTGAACGTTCACATCTCTGTTACCGTGTTGCAAAAGCTAAAGCAGTCAATGGAATCATGGAATCAAATTGAATTCAAGTTCACTTTGCGAATGTTTAATCGAATCGTGTCGCTGCTGCACAGTTCGAAACAAATCACAGTTGGCACATGACTCAAACTGACAAGAAAGGATGACATATTGTACTCATTTAAACGATAAGTCGATAGCGATAGAGGGCTTTGACATTTCTGACAGTGTTCGAGACATTACATTATTGCACTAATACAGTAAAGAATAATATAGCTGGAGAAAAGAGGTTGTTTAAAATGAATTCTTTTAGCTTCGAACAAATCGGCGACGACTCGGAGTTTCCTGACTTCCCACCCTACGAGATGAATGGCGGGTAAGCGTGTTGTCTAAGGACTCCAGCAACGCCAAGTCCTCATGCATCTTCTTTGTTTCGCAGCTCAATTGTGGCCATCGCTGGAAAGAAGTTTGTCGTGATTGCCGCAGACATGTTCCTAAGCAGTGCCTACACAGACCCACCCAAGCTATTCAAGCTGGCGTCCCGAACAGTGCTGGGCTCCACAGGCAGCTGGGGCGACACGCGCGCTATCACTCGCCTACTCGACATGCACATCCAGATATACGAACTCACGCACCTTAGGAGAATCCCCGCCGACGAGGTAGCCCTGATGCTTCACAAAATCATGTACAATTGTCGCTTCCTGCCGTATGGCATCACCAACGTGGTGGCTGGAATGGAAAAGAGCGGCAAGGGCGCCATTTTCTCCTACGATCCTGTCGGTAACTACAAGCGTGAGATCTATTGTGCCCGCGGCGGAGCCGAGCCTTGGTTGCAGGTTGAGCTCGAGTCTAAGATCGGACTGGCAAATTTGGACACCTTCAGAACGAAATTAACTAAAGACGAAGCCGTCAGTGCCGCCCTGGAATCGTTCATCGCAGCTTCTAAGACAATCCACATTGGCAACTCAATTGCCATTAACGTTATAACCAAGAACGGCGTTGAGGCCAAGCAGGTCGTTCTGCGCAAATCCTAACAACAATCCAACTATCTAAACATCCTTTCAAATCTACTATGTACTATGAGAATGTTCATATGAACAGCTTACTAAAATATTATGTGAATATCCAATAAAATGTTTCTTTTACTTCGAAATCGCAGACATTCTCAAAAAATGGGAAGATAGGTAAATAAATATATGAAATGCGAAAAATAAATAATAAATTACGGGAGTTTGCATCGCAAAACAAAACAACTTCTCTGGATCTGCCTAGGGCTTAAGGGTACCTGTATATCAAGTTTGGTTATTCTGTCTTCTGTTCTTTTCTAGATCATTGCGTTCATCCAGCTGTGCGAACAAACGGAGATGGCTATATCGACTCTTTCTGTCATCCTGATGAAGAATGAACACGAGTATGCTTTGGGGGTCTGGCACGCCTCCTGTTACATAAATTTGCACAAAACTAGTATCTCTTTGACGCTTTGGGTCAATACTAATACTAATCCCTAATACAAAATTTTAGGACCTCAAAAAGTATCACTTATAGCCCGACTATACTCAACCCAGCAGGATAATTTTATTTTGATCTAATATTTACCTAAATGCAATTTAGAAAATACTGGAAATTGAGGAACCTTATGTGTCCTTTCAGTGTACTCGCAGGCAGCATGTAATGTTGCAAGCTCATGTTGTTGTTGTTATTGTTGTCGCTGTCATTGTCGTTGGCTTGCCTTGGTCGCATAAACGTTGCCATTTCATGGAGAAGGCCGAGTTCGTACCAACGCCTCCTTCTCCCCCCTCTCCCCCCCCCCCCCCCCCCTCTGCTCTCCTCTTCTCTCCTTCTCTTTGCAGCCCTTCAGTCCACCCTTGTCGTTGGCTTTGACGCGACTCGGCAGCGTTCTATTTGCTGCTGCTCAGTTAGTTTATTGCCGGCGATTTGTTAACAAAAAGCTTTTGCCAGACAAACGCAATGCCCCATGTTTATGCTGCAAAGTTATTAACGAAATTGTGCGAAGGCTTGAAACTGAGAGCGAGCTCTTTGCATTTGTTTAATCGCCAGGCGTTGTTGTTGGTCCGTTTGGGCAACTTGATCGCTCAGTGCAGTGGCAGTGGGTCGGGCAGCGGCCATAAAGCAAAACTTGCAACACAATATTTTAGTGTCATTAAAAAGGTGAAGTCGAGGCCATGCGGGCCAACTGCGAAAGCAATGAGCGATGCATAAATTGTGCAGAGCTACGACGACGGCGACGGCGACTGACAAATGGACAACGGACAAGAAGAGAGGACGGTGGCTAGGAGGGCGGTGGCGCAAAAGGACAGTGTGAACGAGACCCCGTTGCAAGATGCGCTGCAATGCGAGCTGAACAGCAAAAACGACCAAAACTCAGATGTGATCCATAAAAGTCAAATTGCAGATAGGAGGAGAGTGCAGCGGCTTTACAAATCTAATAGCTCTGTTCATTTTCCCAAGCAGTACTGGCCAGTAACGCCTTTGCGGCTGTTCGTACACTCAGCAAAAATAGAGGGAACAATTGTTTACATATTAAGTGACTTTTTCTTTCATTTCCTGCGCTCTTTTCTTGAGTTTCTTCCACAATCAAGTATCTGAAACAATCTCAATTGAACATCTATCCAACTGCAGTCCATGGTGGTTCTGTGGCTTATCTGATATATGTGGACTATTGGGTTTCACGCGCTCGAAGAGAAAACATACAAAGAAATGCGATCACTCATGATTTAGTAGACAATCATCATACAAGTAAGTCATAAATACATTTGAAGGCTTTTAATTGAATATTCGATTAACAGAAACTGAATCCGTATTCCTTCCATTCGAGCTCACATGCTTCGCAATCGCTTTTGTCCATTGGCAGATTACAAGTATTTACTTATTTGTTAACTAACTCCTTAGCGATTTGTGACAACAGAGCAATTGGATGTTGTCATTCCCTATTGATTGGAGCACACTCTGTGAAAGTTTATTGAGTCGACAAAGATGATTTAAAAAGTAAATGAAAGCATTCCTACCGTATTTGAAGGGCTCTGGGACTCGACTCAGAACTACAGAAGTAAATAAAATATTGCATGCCGAGGCCTTAAAAATAAACGAAAATCGAGCTGACAAGTTTTATTGCCTGTGAGCTCTGTTTTAAGCTCTCAATCCAACCACGCCCCCTTCCTTCCTATCAAACAATTAAGGGCAATTCGATTTCGGCATCGCTTGAGCCGCAAATGCGCCATAACTTTCGACAAGGCGACATCGCGGCATGCACTCAGAAATGCTTACAAGGCAAGAAAGAGGCTGCCCAGCAACAGCAACAACGAGAACGACAACGACAACGGCAAGGACAACAGAAAGGACGACGACAAGCGACGTAGCTGATGGCCAGCTGGGGAATGCAGGAGCTACGTAACTCTGTCACAATTTTTCTTGTCCCCCGCTTTCGTTTCTTGCCTCCTTTTTCATTTTCTTTTGCGCTTTTTACTTTTGCCGCCTGTCCTGCTGACTTGCTGGCCTGAAGCGTTCAGAGCGTCCATTGGTGGTCGTTGGTCGTTTGGAGCATACATATGTCTGTTCTTCTGGCTGCCGAGCGGCTGCACGACTGCACGGCCATGGAGCTATGGAGCTATGGAGCTGTGGCGCTATGCGGCTGTGGGGCTGTGGGGCTATGTGGCTGGTCGTCCGAATGTCTGATCGTCTGGCCGTCTGGTGGCCAGCGGATGTGCGCTCTTAGTGAAAATTGCATTTTCAAAATGACTGCTGGACAGGCGATGGGGACGAACAGGACGATGGAGGCGATAGCAACGGCAGCGCTTAATATTTCATCTTTCATGCTCATTTGCACTTATGCACACACACACACACACACACATAGAACCCACGACGATAGTCCTTTGTGCACTTCGCTGCGCAGTCATCCCATCCCATCCCATCCCACTCCCACTCCCATTCCGAACCCCACTCAGCCGGCTTGTAATCAAAAGAAAGCGTTGCCACAAGCTACACGTCTTTGGTGCTCCTCGTTCGGTCCCTTCTGTTCCATCTAGTCCTTCTGCCCCGTCTGCAGGCTGCCTTTTTTGCCAGCTGTCCTCCTTTGCATTGACGGAGCAGCGTCTTCGACTCCGACTCTGACTCCGCCTCTGCCTCCGCCTGCGACTCCTTCTCCGACTTCCCGCCTAACTCGGCGGCACCTGCTGCGAGTTATTTACAGCCACTAGAGGGCGTTCTTGTGTCCTGGCTCGCCTGCAGACTGCACCAACTACGGCCGGGAGCGTACGGCTATTACACACTGCCGGAAGCATTTGAATGTGTTTATATGTAAGCGTCCTCTATCGCTGCTGACACTCTTTTTGCCTTTGTTTTTGTTATGGTTGCTGCTGTTGTTGTTGTTGTTGTTGTTGCTGCTGCTGCTGCTGGTACTATTGTTGTTACTGCCAACAGGCAGGTAGCAAGCAACTAAAATGTTTCCGTTATTAAGCCAAAGAAGCACTTAACTTTGCCGGGCCCGCACACTGTGGTCGCGCCAGTTGCAACCAAACCCCAGTCCCTATGCCCTCCAGTACTTCAAGTGGTGGTTAACGCCTTCGTTAATAGAATTTAAAGTATTTAGGGGTCAACAGACACCGGTAAATAGCATTATCCATGCAACGGCGAAAGATTTATCTGTTGACATATTTAGCTTACCAAGCACCTGGGAGAGCTAATTCGATCGTTTATCCAGCAATGATCGAAAAAGCCATTGTACGTCCCAGGGTCCTTTCCACAGTAAAAAGAGGGCGTCAAAAACAAAGTACGACTAAAATGTAGTATTCCATTCATAAATGATAAACAAAATTAGGTTTTATATTTTCCAGATTCGGTTGCTTTCAAAGTGCGCTCCCAGAAAGAATAGAATAACGCTTTCTTTTGGATAAAAATCTTGTACAATGCGATATCAATGTGTGAGGAATCGTCGCACACTTTCCACATTTAATGTTTGCTAACTAAGGATTTGATCAATAGATGTTTATCTTTAAAGGAAATGCAAGCCAAAATCGTCAGCTGCTTAATTTGAGAAGTGCAGAGAAGTGTGTTGAGGTTCGATTAAGCCACGTCTGTATGACATCGTGATATTATTGTGATATATAGTTCAATATAGTTGAAGATTAGACATATACTCAATTATTGCCATTGCTTTCAACAAATTATGTAGCATCATGAGTGCAGCTAGTCCGTTAATAGCTTCTGATGTTTCTCTTCTTATTGTGGAATTAAAAGTCCCAGCAAGTATGTCTTCCGATTTAGAAAATCCATTTCTTATGTAGTAGAAATCTTTCCTACGTCCTTCCCATTCCTAATGCATAGCAGTTTTTCAAGCGAAATTAGTTAACGGTTTGTGTTCACGTTGTACTCGTATATTTTTGTAATTTGTCTGCCAACGTAGTACTGCTTATATAACCGATTTCAAGTGTATGTATATGTACATACGTATGTATGTGAAGGCGGAGTGCATTCTTAAGGTTAACATAAATTTGCCTTAGATTTTAAGTAGTTGAGTGGCTGGCTGGAGAGGAGGGGGGAGTTGGCACGCCAAGGTGGCCGCAGTTTTGGATGCGTGTGGCAAATGTGTGTGTGCGTGCGTGCGTCCTTTTCGCATTAACGCTTGCCACTTTGCCAACAACACCAACAACAACAAGAGCAGCAACAAGGATATCCTTACAGCAACAGCAACAACGTCGTGGTTGCAACTGCTGACAGCGAACCCAAAAACTTGCGACTTGTGTGCTTAGCTTTGATGTGGATTCCATCGTTGTCGCTGACGCTTAGCGCCAAGTGTTGTTGCTGCAATTTGTGGCATTACTTTGCGGTCGCCTTACCGCCCCCCGTTCACCCCTCACAATGCCTTCACTTGCCTGGGCGGCAGAGTGGCAAGCAAGGCATGACCTGGCATTGTTTTTACGCGTCATACACACCGCATATGAGCTCTGCTGTTGTTGTTGATGTTGATGTTGCTGTTGTTGTTGTTGTTGCTGTTTATGTTTGTGGCAGCACTCAAGCTGATGACGATGAGGACGACATCGTGGCGTCATGAACATTTCAAAGCTCACACTTATAGTATTTGGTGTTGGCTTTGACTTTGACTCTTGCATTAATGAAAGCACAACACAACAAAAAAACAGCAAACTGATTGCCTGCTACACGCATTTTAAAATGTTCTCCTAAAAATATACTAGAAAAATGAGTCACAGAATTAAGCTTTTGGCAATAAACGCATTTCTCAGTGGCCCCTTGGGCATAGGAATGATTCTAGGAAGAATGCTTCTTTACAGCATTTGCAAATAATTAGTAGCGAACCTCTCCCTCCCCCTCCAATCTCTCCTTCTTTCTCAGCGGACATTTTATAAATTCTTCAAAAACAAATAAGAACACTTTGCATTCCTTAAGCTCAAAATAAAAGAATGAAAGAGTTTGCAATTCCGTTGAATTGAGATAGAAAGTATGTTGGATTTTATGGCAAATGGAAAGATTAATTTCAAAAAATTTCAATCTAGCGGACTCGCAGGAACCAGCTTTTTGTACGACCCGATAGACAAATAGTTTGCACACAAACTGGTTGAATTATTCAAAGACAAGTTTTGCTTCTGAGTAGACCCAGTATTGGAAACATCTTGAAGCAATCTGTCTGCGAAAACATCCATCAGCAACTTGACTTCGAAAGCGAAAAACGTGAAAATGTAAACCACCGGCATTCATGTTTCAATTTGTTTGATGTTTTTCTTTTATTATTATGTTGCGAATCAGTCTGCAGATTTGGCAATAGTTTGACATTTTTTTTATATATATGTATATGAGATCACTCTTACAGAATTGTAAGACTGAAATAATTTTTAAAGCGAACTCACATTGTGGGATTCCTGTTAGAAGAATTTTGGGAGGCATTGAGACCAGTTTCTGTAATAAGACATTGTACTCTCTCTCTCTCTCTTTCCGTTACAACTATATATCTTTAAAGTCCAAACCTTTGCTTAAATGAATAATACCAATTGCTTCTTACTTTCTTCCTAATGCTTCCGCAATATCATTAGTATGTTGTGCTTCTGTGGTGGAAAAATTCGACCCACGCTTCCTCTTCATCCTTCGCAGCATATTACCGTCAGAAGTCTTGTTTTGCTTAAATTATTGTATTTGGCTTGCATGCTCTGCCAGGGGCCGGACTCAACATTTAAGTCAATGTTGCTGCACTTCACTTTGAAATTGAATTTGTTGCGGCAAATTTGTTTAACAAGCGCTCAGTGGTGTTGTTGTTGTGGCCGCCTTGGCCCTGATCCTGGCCTAGGCGGGCGTGTGACACTCCACCAAATGCTGCCACATGGCATGCCTTTGTTTTTATGGCCCAGCTGCCTGACACTCTGCCGTTTGCTTTTGTGGCATGTTTAACATATTTCCATTGTTTATTTTGCATTGCGGTGGCTCCGATGGTTGTGGTGGTGCTGGTCACTTACTTAGCGGCTTTTGACGTTGACGTTGACGTTCACGTTCGGTGTTTGTTCAAGCTGTGTGGCGCAGAAATTTAAATGGAGGCGCCACTTTAAGTGGCGCCCAAAACTTGGGTGCTTAGTTTCAATTGAACGTAGCTTGTTTTTGCTGTTGTTGTTGTTGTTTTCGCCTTTTTATTTTCGTCCTGCACGTTTCTCAACTTGTAAATATTTCCGTTCAATTTGGCAGGCTATGGCATGCTGCTGACCCTCGTGTTGCATGTGCGCCCTAAACGCTGCTTCATACAGTGTTGCGCCTGCCCGCCCAAAATGAACACACGGCACCCATCCACAAAGAGGGAGAGAGAGAGAGAGAGAGGGAGTGTGTGAGGGAGAAAGACAGGCATACACATACTCGTACACTCCACACACTTGCAAAGTCGTTGACTTGCAACAAAGTTCTGGCCCAATGCGGCGTATACGCAACAAAGGCGCAACGTGGGGCACCTTCTGCTTGCCCCGCCGCCAGCCGCCACACCGCCACGTTGCCACGCTGCCCACTGCAGTTTACAGTTAATCGTAAAACAAAATGAAAACGAAAACAATAAACTGAAATTCAATTTTCGCATTGTAAAACATAATTTTCTACAACTTGACGTCAGCTTGGACGTTCGTTCAGTTTGCTGTTCTTGTTGCTGCTGTTGCTGCCGTTGTCGTTGTCGTTGTTTTTGTTTTTGCTTTTGTTGTTATTTTTGTTGTAAATGCTACTAAAAGGTAGTTAATATTTGCAGTCTACATGCGCCGCCATTGCTGCCAATGCTCTCGTTTTTGTTTTTCTTGTTGCTGTAACATTCCACTCCACTTGTTTTTGTTGCTCCTGTTTTTTCTCCTGCTTCCTGTTCTAGCTGTTTATGAAATTTATGGCGCGTCGACGTCGACGCCGACGCAGACGTCGCCATCTTCTTCTTCTCCTTCTTCTTTCTGCATGAGTTATGCGCGTTTTATTTCTGGCGTTCTTATCGAAACCGCTGGTCGAGCGTAGAGGAGTGCCAAGAGCTAAGGGGCCAGTGGGGGACCGGGGCGGGGCGGTGCGGGGCTACCCTAAGTGTTAAATTGTTTTATGTACTCGCACATGTCTGCAAGTTGGCTGCAACGACTGCAGCTCAGCAAATTTAATTGCGGCATTTAGTCTAGAGACGTGCCCGTGTTTCGTGATTGTGAGCGAGCGGGAAATAAAACCAAAAACAACGCGTTTGCAACAAATGTGAATGCATGAAGTTATTTCTACGATTTCGACTGCATAAACTCTTAAGTCTAGCTCTGCGAAAGTGAAAGCTTATGTTTTTATTTCAAAATACAAACTTAATCGATTATTTACAAACTACTACTACAAATTGATAACTGATTAAATGACGGGTAAAAAGGGCATATTAGAATAAGAAAGCATATCCGACCACACACAACATACTGGCCTAGGTCTGCATATGCTGGTCTGTCCGTCCGTCTGGATGAACCCCTGGATTTCAGAAACGGTTGAGACCATGTTCATCAAACTCTCCCCCTAAAGAATTTTTTCAATACTACCTACAATTTGAAAGCCATATAAACTAAACTTTTCATACGTTTTGCTTACCTGTGAGCAGTTCATATATATTATCATTAAGATTGATAAATAAAATATGAAAAAAACAAACCAGACACGTCCGTGCTTTTCATATATTTCCATTTCATCTGCAGCCAAAGAACTTAAAGTAGTTGAAATGAAAGTTGACTAAAATGTACAAAAATGTGCAATTTTTACTCCCTTTTCAAATTAAGTTACTCTGCTCTTACAATATCAATAAACATAGAAATGTTGGCTCATAATAAATAACTTATTCTCAATAGAGGAATAATGTACTTGTATATATTTGAAGAAAGCACTTTAACATAATCCTATTTAACTTGAACTAATATTCAAACCTAAAGTAAATATGTATGTTTATATGAAAAAAAAAATAGTTCATCGTCGCTAAAAATGCAATGTCATATTCAAATGGAATGTAACGATTTAAGTTCTATATTAAAATGTTGGATTTAAGCCAAGTATCTACAGTAATTGTGTAAACTGATACTTTTCACGCACTATCCTTCATCACCACAAATTACTTTTAACTCACAAGTATAGCTGGTAGGATGCTATATCGCCAGTAAGATCAACATTAAAAAAGATGGGCGTATTAAGCAAAGTTGCAATATACGAGCATGTGTACACACATACATATTTCCCAAAAGCATGCAGCGAACTCGAAAATATTTTTTGATTTTATTATTATTGTTATAGTTAATTTTGCTTTTACAAGTATTTAATGATATTTTTCTCAGTTCGCAGCTTCACAGCAAATATGTAAGTGTCGCTATGTGAGCGGGGAATGGTAATGGTTTGGTTGAGTGCCGATATTCCCGCGTGAGCTCCTCAACTCCCATCTCTAAAATAGACAGTGCTGTATTGATTTTTGCGTTGCATACTTCCTGGCAGCGAATGTTTTGCATTTATGCATGTTTATGTATAACATTATTTTAAGCGACAACGTAATCAACAAAAACTATAACTAGGAACTAAGTAGCTGGCTCTAATGTATCAGAGGAAACGGAACCGATCGCGTTGCCGCCAATTCCGCATCCACAGTCGCTGCCGAAGTCGACTCACGCCCCGAACTGCCACGCCCATCTGTCTACCGCTGGATCTTATCAGACGTTGTCGCTGGCCGGTGGCCGCCTGTCGCCCAACGGCTGGCCAGAGCCGCTGTCTCTGCCGTTGCACATATGGCCGGTTCGGCTCCGTGTTGAAGTAGAAATTGCCTTGCGCCTTGCGTAGCGAGTGGATGCCGAAACGGGCCCGCCGATTGCTCGAACACTTGCCGGCAACAAACTCACGATAACTGCCACACTGGTAGCCCACAAACGGGAACTGTGGGTTCATGGACTGCTTGAAGAATATGGCCGCCGAGGAGTGGCTGCAGGCAATGGGATCTACAGGAGATTCAATGAAATTAGACAGAGTATACGTTAGTTCGTTGCTTCGCTACCGATCTCGTACTCCAAGTCTGTCGTCTATAAGAGTCAGAGACTTCAAGAAATCGTTTCACACTCACTCGTATTTTGCATATCTCGCAGATGCATGAACATCTTGCAGTTGCTTTGCGGGGCCTTGCCACCATTCGGATAGAAATCGGCATGGCCGCACTTCAGACTGGTCCCCAAGGTACCGCCCGATGTGTGCAGCACCTGCACGAACTGTGCATCTGTCTGGTCCAGCCTGTATTCGGGGGAAACCTCGGCGGGTAGACTGAAGAGCGGACCCGCCGGATCCAGTCCAATGATCTGCTCCACCTCGCCGCCCAGCACAGAGCCCGCATAGCCAGCTGCATGGGCGCCCAGACTATAGCCGGCCAGGGTGACATTGCTGCGCTGAAAGTGACGCGGACGCAGCTCCTCCAGTGCCATTATAATGCCCGCCACTGTCAGACCCACATCGAATATCGACATCGATGCGGTCTTGTAATCCATTTGCGACAAGTGCCCCCAATCCACAACGCACACGTTGTAGCTTTCGTCGAAGAGCGTCCAGGCTGTGCGAATTCGAGGTGAAGTTTCATTTCAATATAGAAATGGAAGGGATGGATGGATGTAAGTAAGAAACCTATATTTTCACCCATCATATAGATATCATATAGATATTATAGATATTATATTATTATATGTAGCGACACCCGTACATATTTCGGTTTTTAAAGAACACGATGAAGAGCCTGTTCGGCGAGTTCTTATTTCGTATTACGATTGTCTCTTCAACAAATAATTAATGACACTACCCAAGACCTAAGATGTTCTTGGATGGCAAAAAGAGACGTTATTAAGCGAAGAGATGAAACATTAATCCTAGCTGTTGATTAATGTGTGCATAATTTCAAAATATTATATTCTGCTGACTGTCTTTTTGTTCGACTTCGGACTCGAGTAAAGCTCTTAGTCTAATTGAAAATACTATATGCCCCTTCAGAGAACTCTGTGCAGATTACTGACAAAAGCGAACAATGATTAAGCCCTCCGCTTGATTTTGTAAACCATGTTTAGTTTTCTTCAGCAATCAAATTTCCGCTCACTTTAGACCGATGCCTGCGTACTTTTCTTTGTACTGTAGAGATAACGCAGACGAATTGAAACCCTTAGACAGTTCAAGGACCATCTCCTTATAGTGCCACACACATCTCCTTCCCAGAGTTGGTACTTTTTTTACTCACTGCGCAACAGCTCCTGCACCCAGTCCTTGCTACCCTGATCGTTCCAGCCGTGCAGGAAGAGCGCCAACTTTTTGTGCGCATCCAGCATTCGAAAGCCCCGTAAATCGCCCAATTGTAGATTGAAATGCACCTCCTCGCCAAAGTCCATGTCAGAGCTGTATATGTGTGTGAGTGTGTGTGTGTATGTGTGTGTGGTTAGATTGTGAGTCCCATATGCTGCAGTTGTGTGTCCTCCCCTCCCCAACACTTACATCGCGCGGCACTCGAAGACAATGCCGTGATTGAGGACCGCCCGCTCCAGGCTGTTGCGCAGCATGCGCTCCTGTAGATAACGGAATGTGTTCATCATGAGACCCCATTTGTGGAGATGAGCATCGACGCCGTTGCCAGCGGGTCCAGCGGGTCCAGCGGGTCCGGAGCCGCACTTGCCACTGAGGAGCAGCAGCGTTGCATAAACAAAGGTGAGCGCATTTATTAGTCTCCAGCGATGCCATGCGAGCTGCTGCTGTTGTCTCGTCTTTATGTTTTCGTTTGTTGGACTATTTCTGAGGCTGGAGCAGAAGCTAAAGCTAAGGCTAAGTCTAAAGCTCCTCTGCTGCACTTCTCTCTGGCAATGGACGCCTTCCTCACGCCCATATGCGTGCATTTGCAAAACACGAACAACAAAGTTCACTTCACAACAAACAAAAAATAAAAAAAAAATACAAATAAATAGCAAACAAAACGCGAATGAAATCTAAATTTAAATTTATGCACCCAGCTGGCAAGAATTTGATTTTAGAAATTTGCACGGCCACCGAAATCGAGAGGAAAGAGCTGAGGAAGAGCTGAGCGACGCGCATTAATGGCTCGAGTCTTAATTTAAGCTGTGAACGTGGTCGTGATCGTAAGCGTAAGCGTCGGCGCACCGCTTTAGTTGCCCCGTGGCATGCTACTGAAGTCAGGCCGCTTGTAAGGGCCGCCTCAACGGGCCGCGAACGCGAATCGCGCGCTGCTGCCAATAAGTCGCAGCGTTCCGCGCCCCGCGCCCCGCGTCTCGCGTCCAGCCTCGGCGTGAGCGACGACTTTGACGTTGAAGCTGACCCTCGCCGTTCCAGAGATCCAAGTCAAATGAACTCCAGCTGTTGTTCTTGAGGCGGCGCATGGCCTGCCACCAAGGTGGTTGCTGGCAGCGCTGCCAGCGTCTCTGCCAACAACGGTGGCACTTCGATGGCTGTTCGATGTTGTTTGCACAAGTGAAAGTAAAGCTTACTTGTATAATGAATTCGATTCTTCGATTCCTCGATTCTTGTATGCCTCTTTGTCTACTCGATCTTTGGGTTTATTGCTATTGTTATTGTTATTGCTATTATTATTACTGTTGCGGCGATAGCTGTTGAGGCTCGATGGGACTGATCTTGACATAGAAGCAAACGACGCTCAAGTGGCGAACAGCTGTTGCTGGCTGGCTGGCTTGTCCGGGTTTTACAAGCCACTTGGATTACCTTCGGAGCCCTCGAACAGTTGCACAAACAGTGGCAACAAATTTGAGTGACATTGGCTGCAACCACCAGCCCCGACTCATGTGCTGATATAGCCAATTAATCTACTGTTATTCATCGAGTCAGATTACATTATGCCTTCAAGTGGGAAAACTTGTTGCTGCTCTTAAAAATTGAACAGCATATTATCTGATAATAAATTTTTACCATTTCAGCAGCACTCGCATGCGTCTTAGTTACGGATAATGATATAGAATAACAAAAAAATAGTCTAAGGCTGATTTCAAACTCGTTATCCATAAAAAATGAACTGAACTTATCATGTCTTGTTGTGTTTTCAGGAAACGTACAATTGCATCAATAAAGAATCTGCCTTCAAGTGGGAAAACTTGTTGCTGCTCTTAAAAATTGAATAGCATATTATCTGATAATAAATTTTTACCATTTCAGCAGCACTCGCATGCGTCTTAGTTACGGATAATGATATAGAATAATAAAAAAATAGTCTAAGGCTGATTTCAAACTCGTTATCCATAAAAAATGAGCTGAACTTATCATGTCTTGTTGTGTTTTCAGGAAACGCACAATTGCATCAATACAGAACCTTAATAATACATAGCATATTTATTTTCGTATTATTTTAAGCATTGTAGTCAATGAACCAGCTAAGTAAATGCAACGCTACCATTTTATTCGCAGCGATGCGCTTGCTCAATCACAACGAATTTCCATGAATAAAAAGCAATAACCTTTTGGAAATATTCTGACATGCTAATTGTTAACGAGCCATGTCTGTTAGTCTGGGAACAATGCATAAATGAAACCGAACAATAATTCAAAAAAGGGGTGACTGAAAAGCAGGAACTTGTTCCCCCACATGCAATGGAAAAAGCCATTCCTAGAGCACACCCAGACATTAAAAAAATGCCTGAAAAGGTGAAAAGCCTTAAAAAGCTTCTCAGAAATGCATTCGGGGTCATACCCCGCCTGAGTACGCATTAATTCAAATAGCTTACATAACTATAAATAAATGCCATAAATATGGAAATGTAAAACAAAACTTAATTCATTATTCATTTCAAAGTAAAATGCATTTCGATTGAAATGTTTGGGGCGAGCAGGGCACTCAAGATTCGTGCTCGAAATCGTTTGGTTTCATTTAATTACCTTTCGCTCTTCCCCGGCGTCATTAAGAAAAAATGTGGCTTCTACAATTTCGACCGTTAGACGGTTAGCAACGCCGATACAGAGTTCCCTTGAATATCATAAGCCATTGATCATTGTTATGTTTTGGCCATTAGAGTGGCCAGAATGCCTAAGAAGCTCGTCTTGAAAGCAACAATACATTTTCACTGCTTACAGCACATCAAAAACATAAAAACTGACTAGCCCTCTTCATTTGCCGCCTCTTCTCTCCTCTTTCACTTTGGCTTTCTAACAACCAGAAAGCCAGCAAGCAGAACAGACCGTCGCTGACGCTAATGATGACAAGCAATACGGCTCCAAAACAAAAACTAAAAAGTCCGATGGAGTGTTAAGAATGGCCGCAACCGACTATTCGATACCTTTCGCCATTATAACACAGGCTGCTGTACTCTTTTCAAACTAAAATAAACATCATTTTTATGAAAAGTATTGGTTTTAAAGCAACGTTCTACATGTATATAATCTGTATGTATATAATCGAGAGATGAGCATATTGTTGAATAAAGAAAAGCATTGAAAATATCATCCATTTTACGAAGATGCAAGGCAACCCCATTCACTTTAAGGAAGGAGGCCTACCGTGCTCTATAATGAAGCTGTTTCAAATGGGATCTCGATGCTTAGTTCTTTTCTTCTATAACTATCAGACTTTATGTGTCAAAGCCTAATCTCCCTTTCAGGTAAAGGGTATAAGAAATTCAACCAGTTGTTGTGCTATTTTAAGACATCTCAGGTGGCTTAAGCCAAGCACTAAAAGAGCGTCAAGTGCCAACAACAACAACAACAACAACAACAACCACAACAACAATATCAACATCGACATCGACAATAACGATAATAATCAGCATCTCATGCCTTGCCTATAATCCCATGCTTGAGTGGCAAAAATCGTTGAATGGCTTCAAATGACTTCGGCTGTTGTGGCGCTTACACATCTATCTTTGTATTAAGCTTTAAATTTGCATATTTGTGCCCTAATTATGAAAGCGGCTCATAGCATAAGTAAATGATAGGCACTTCCATGGCCCAAATAGCGGCCAAGCAGAAGGGCCGCGCATAGGTCATTGAGTGCGGGCCGGGCCGGGCCGGGCCGGGCCGAGGAGGAGCAAGTGAAAGAAAGATAAGCAATGGAGACAACGCCTAAAAGACACTCAAAGAATTAATTCAGAAAATCGCCATTAACTCGAAAGTAAAAATGTAGCAACATAATGAGTTGCTGTTGTTTTTGTTGTTATTCAAAAATAAGATATACATAGTAATAAAAAATAAAAAAACAGCCGACAAGCAGTAACACATTGAGAGATACTTACACGACAAGAGCACATTTGAAAAGATCGCGTTGCGGTTACCCATATAGAGCGAGCGATACCGCTATAATAATATTGTTCACATTGTAAAACGAGTTTTTAGCTAAAAGCTTGGGACAGACGTCTTACCAAATGCTTCAGAATTCATTTGTCTATCGAAACGCCGAAAACAATTATAAAACAATTATTCTTTTGTACACATGCGAGAGCAGTATTTCAGTATTTTTCATTGTTTCGCACGCCTTACAAAACCTTCGTTCGAATGATTTCAGTACTATGTACGATTTGAGATATATTTTCAATTCATATGTAAGAGGTATATAGGCCTAGAGAAGAAACGAAATCATAAACGAATCAGTGTTAAAAAAAAGTTGAAGAGTAAGAGACAAAATAAACATCATCGTTAATTAGTTAACACGAGTGTGTAAAACAAAGCATTCTAATAATAATTATGTATGAATATTCACTGCTAATTGATTTGAGGGTATACAGAAACATGCAACTCCATGCCTTGTAGATGTTGATTAGCCTGAAATGGTTGCAACAAACTTAATAATTCCATCAAATGTGATGCAAGTGTTCAATGGTGGTCATCCTCTGAGATATGTCGTATTATATAGTGTTATATATCAGATAATAATCTCGTTAGCTCCAAAAGAAATGTTTTTTTTTTCTCTAAGTGGAACATTTTTGGCAATCGAATGAATAATGGGAGGGAGTGTTGGAGAGATGGGAGGAGGAACAAAAATGTAATTGCAATTTGTGGATGAACTGATTTGTGACAAAGGGGCGAAGGCGGGCGATAATACATGTGGCTATATTCATTACAAACACATACACACACACATCCTCACGTACACACACACACACACACACTCTCTCATGCGAGACTGTTATCATTAATGTAAAGTACAACTTAATTGTTGCTGCAAAAAAGGCACAAAAGGCTGGCGAAAGCAAAAGTTCTGTCATCGTAGACTTTGTTTGCCTTTCCCTACCGTCCCTCTTTTTGCAGTCCCCAGCCTTACTGCCAGTCAGCCAGCCTGGCTGCCAGCCTGCCTTGCCATTAAGCATAATAATAATAATAATAATAATGTGTAATAGCTGTGCGGCGCCGCGTGCTATGCTATTCCATATAGAAGCTCCTACAGCAGCAGCAACAACAACAGCTGCGCGCAATAACTCTATAACTCACATACACATACACATAGACAGAGACAAAGGCAGAGGCAGAGGCAGGGAAAGAGCAGCACATGTGTATGTGTGGCTATATTTGAATGCGTGTGCGTGTGTGTGTGTGTGTGAGAGAGAGAGAGAGAGAGCCCGCGTTTGGGGACGCATTCAAAGCAATTTCCACAATTTTCGTATTGTTTACTTAATTAATTCTGCAAAAAGATTTTCATTTACGAGTGTTGTGTGGCTATGTATTTGTGGGGGTGTGTGTAAGTGTGTGTGTGTGTGTGTGTGTGTGAGCTTGTTGTGGCATACACAGCTGTTTTGTGGTTATTACAGCAAACCACACATACATACATACATATACACAAACACCCATGCACATTCACATTCACATAGACAGACGGGAACGCGTAATGAGTTTATAACATTTAATGAACGCTGCCGCACAATGTGGCGTATGCGTAATGCATTGCCAATGGGCACGGCTTTAAGGCACACCTTAAAGTATGCAACAAGTATGCAAAAATCAATCCACCAACAACAACAACAACAGAAATAGCAGACGTTGCCAATTGTCAAGCAGTTGCATATCATATTGGAAGACACGTTGGGTGAAGGGCTCTAGACTAATACCCACAAACCAATACAACCAACCATACAAACCAATATAAGGGTTGTGAAGGCGCTGAATAGTCTTCATAGTCCTTTAAAGAACTTTGTATGGAATCTATAAGTATCTGTGAAGAGGTCGCTCTCAACATCGCTTAAATGGAGACTATCTGTATTTTAAGTTCTGTAGATCTGAAAATGTATTTCTATCGAAGAAAAGAAATTAATGTTCATCATCATTTCCATTACAAATGTAAGCTTTCGATAGCTGGCTAGAAATACTTATATGCATATACATCCCGCAAGCAAGGCATCATCAAAAATCAGTTTCGATGCATTTACAACAGATTTCACCACTCACCAGTAACAAAAATATTCAAACATATTTCTCAAGAACTCTATTCTTTATACATGACTGGACCTAAATGTCCAGTTTGGGAATTAACACGATGGTTCTCGGAACACTGTAACAGAAAGTCTAAAAATATATCCACAATTGATTAGAATTCGATAAAAATAAAACACACGCGACCTTTATGCAGAAAGAAGCAACTGTATAATAATTTGTCCAACTCCATGAAAAATGAAGGAAGACACGATTCCATTATGGCTAATAAGCAAATGGCAACATATTTATTCGAACAAGTCGCAGCCAATAGCGTCCACCGTGCTCGACACTACAATTCCAATCCATTTTAAATCTCTAAATAATTAATATATCCACGCACATTGCCACCTCAATCATTCTTACAGATATTAATGTTATTAATTGAAAAAGTTATTTCGTTATGTTCACATCAAAATCAGGACGAACTAGGTTATGGTCCAAGATAAAAACTCAAATCGGTTATCGATGAATTGTGTTGTCCGATTGTAACCTAAATAATTGGAAGCACTGTTTTTGACAGTCGCTGCTCGAGTAGTGCAAACGTGAAAAAAGTGTGTGTGTGTGAAAAAAGGAAAACTCTTCAGTGAAACTTATTTCAAATATAGCATTTTATAAAGGAAAACTGTAAGAGTAAGTAATAGATGAGGACCGAACCTATTGATAATAACTATCAATCAACTAATGAGTAGGATCATGCAATTGAAGTAGAAAAAAACAACTTTTGCATTAACATCTGTGTGTTCGCTCAATTAGATTTGTTTCCCCCTCTAACTTTGCTAGAACTATGACGAACCAAGCCGCATCCACATCCAAGGCTGCCTTTCTGAAGCTGCTGTGCCTTACCAGTGACAATGACAAGATGGAGGTGCTCCGCCCCTTCAATCCCACTGCCTACGGCTTGAACGCCACCTTCCGCTTGACGCGCTTCTCCGATGCGAAGGGCACTGTTTGCAAGGTGTCGCAGGGAGTATTGGCGAAGCTGCTCTCGCCTCTGCGTGCGGCCGGTCCCACCGCAAATCTGAAGACGAAGTACGCGGACCAACGCCGCTTTGGGATAGGAACGGACTGTTCGGTCACTCCGCTGCGTTACGGCGTCTCCTTGGTGGAGACCACCGATCTCTGCTACCCCATCATTGACGACCCCTACATGATGGGCAAGATTGCGTGTGCCAATGTGCTGAGTGACTTGTATGCCATGGGCGTGATCGAGTGCGACAACATGCTCATGCTACTGACCGTGAGCACCAAGATGACGGAGAAGGAGCGCGACATTGTGATGCCGATGATAATGCGCGGCTTTAAGGACACGGCCTCGGAGGCCGGCACCAAAATTGGTGGTGGTCAGACAATTGTGAATCCGTTTTGCACTATTGGAGGTGTGGCGTCGGCCGTTTGCTATCCGGACGAGTACATTAAGCCGGACAATATCATGGTGGGCGATGTTATTGTGCTCACCAAGCCGCTCGGCACTCTGGTGGCCATGATTGCGCATCAATGGCTCGATCAGCCGGAGAACTGGGGTCGCATCAGGAAGGTCGTTTCCCAGGAGGATGTCCGCCGGGCCTACCACCAAGCCCTCAACTCGATGGCGCGTCTAAGCCGCACAGCCGCCCGTCTCATGCACAAGTATAATGCCCACGGTGCCACCGATATAACCGGCTTCGGCATATTGGGTCATGCCCAAGCCCTGGCCGCCATCCAGATGCAGGAGGTCAGCTTGATCATTCACAATTTGCCCGTGATTGCGAAAATGGCAGACGTGGCCAAGGCCTGTGGCGACCTCTTCAAACTGCAGGAGGGCCACTCCCCCGAGGTTTCGGGAGGTCTGCTCATCTGCTTCTCGCGCGACGATGCCATTGAATACTGCAAGGAGATCTTGGACCTGGAGGGCGCCCAGGCCTGGATTGTTGGCGTTGTCGACAAAGGCAACAAGACCGCACAAATTATCGACAACCCCAATATCTTCGAGTCACTCTCCAAGTATTAAGTTTAATTTGTTTTAATCGCTCAACTTTAAATTAACACTTCAAGCCAACATAATGAGAAAAGCTCACACTGTTTATATCAATTGAAACGATGTTAGCAAATACGTCAACAATTTATTGGTAAATAAATATTCACACAATAAATTTTAACTGTATTTTAAACTCTATGTTAGTATTTTTTAAATCAAAAATAGTATAGAATCAATAAAATTGAAAACAAGAGTAAATATCAATTAAAGCATTTTCTTTTTTTTTTATAGAAAACTACTTCATAGTAGAACTACTTGTATTACTCACAAATCATGTTCTTTGTCATGCCAACAAAGAAAAGAAATGCCTTAATGGGAGATTGCCAAAGGGTTTGAGTTGTGGTTGAGCTTGGGCTCGAGTCCTTCAAACTTATCAGCCCCGACCGCCGCAGGACGTGCTAGTAAGTAGTTCTTATATTGCACGGCTCCTATGGCAAGTTCTCTAATGTGGCCCCAAAGTTGAGCTTTGTATGCTAAACTGCCGCGCCCAGCAGTGTGGCAGCTGTAGTTGTTAGCTTTGCGCTCGAATTGGCCGGCAGCAGCAAAACCCCCCCACCATCACCATCGCCATCACCATCACACCCATAAAGGTTACCCTGTACTTTATTTTCTTTTGATATTTACTTCAATTTCAAGTTGCATGGACGCCACACCCAGAATGGCAGCTCGCTCTGGCTCTGGCTCTAGCTGTGGCTGTGGCTGTGGCAAGTCTCTGTTAGCAAGTCTAGCAGCCAGTACGCCCCCATCGGCCGCGCCCACAAATTGTAGGTAGTTTGCTTCGCTTCGACGTTCAGCTCGTTGTTTTGTGCTTTGTTGTTATCTTTCGATGCGTATGTATGGGAACTATTTTACCGCTCAATTGATTTTGCAATTTATTTGCGCGCATTATGCTCACACATACACACACACACACACACACATACAGTCACATATGCGCACGTGTACTGCACGTGTGTGTGCGTGTGTCTGTGTGTGTGCATGTTGGCTGGCTTTTGCTGAAATGGCGCTTTGGCCATTACCACTTGAGCATTTTCAATTCTATTTACTCCCAATAATCATCATCAATGTCAGTTTCGCTTGCACTAAAATAAAATAACAACAGCAGCTACAACAACAACAACAACAACAATAACAGCAGCAACAATAGCAGCAAGAATTGGCAATGACACGGGCAGCAAAAGTAACAACGTCAACAGGATCATTGGCAGCATTGACAGCAGCACCAACAACAACAACAACAACTACAATGATACTGTGACTTGTTTTGTTGTCGCAGTTGCCGTTGCCGTTGCCATTGCCATTGCCAGACACTCCAAACGAGGCTCGCACACAAACACACGCATTGGGAGTTGATGTTTATATCGATTGCTGGCAATTTCGTGAATTACAACAGTCTCACTCACACACACTCACACACACACATACACATAGAGACTAGCACAGCACACTCTTGAGAAAGGACGTCAACGACGTGCATGTTGTTACTGTTGTTGTAGTTGTTGCTGGTTCTGTTTGAGTGCCAAAGGGACAACAGACAATCACACTGGGAGACGAGCAAACGAACAAACGAAGGGACAGGCGTTCGCCTGTTCAGACAGACGCACAGACAGACAGGCTGACAGACAGGCTGGGTGACAGGCAGACAGACACTGGCGCAACAAGAACTCACAACAATATGGCACAACCGACAAAATATTGACAGAAGTCTGTCTGTAAGTTTGATGGGAAAAACGATAACATTATTGTCTCACATTTGTGATAAGATCTTTACTTTCAAGGAGATAATATTATAGTTGTTGTGTCCGTTGGGAATGTGCATTGCTCGTCCGAAACCTTCCCAATAGAGCTAAAAAAAATATATTAAAAATAATAAAAATTAAAGATAAGACTTAAACAGATTTCAGGATTATGCCGTATATGCATGTACATATCTCACTATTTTCATGTATAATCTAATATACAACGAAAATTCAATAAAAAGGACTCTAGAACAACACCAATATATCACCTTATAAATTGAGTATATAAGGATTTGTTTTCTTGATTCTGCAGGCAGATACAATTTTCAGAGACAAGAAAGCTGAGTAAAGAACTGAGTAAGAACGTCTTGATTTGATTGTGGAACCAGAAAACATTCACATACTTGTATATATCTATAAGTCCATTCTTCACTACTTCTGATGGCAATATCACGTATTTTTGTCGGGTGGACAGGACACGTGCCATTCTAGCTGTTTCGAGTGCGTATGTGTGCGTATGTGTGTGTGTTTGCTTGTATGTGTGTCGCGATTTGCTACGCCTCGCACTCTTTACTCCTTTAACCCCACCCCGCCTCCACATTCCCATTTCCCATCCGAGTGCTGTCGATGAAGGGGGACCCCCCTTCGAGGGGGAAACTAAAACAACGAATTACGTTAAATCAGTTTTTGCGCTGACGCAAGAAAGAAAGTATTGCATACTTTTCGGCTGGCATTGCTTTTTATGCTCACGTTGCTCGCCTTTACTTATTTTATGGGCGCCATCGCTTGATTAAACTTTTGCCATTGCCATCGCCGTCGACGTTGCCGTTGCCGTTGTCGTTGTCGTTGTCGCTGCTGGAGCAATAATTCGAAGGAGCAACTTTAAAAAATTATCGAAATAAAAATTTTCAACTGTCAGCTGCGCGCTTACATCATAAAAAGCGTGTCGTTCGTTCAACGCAACTAATTCCCAACAAAGCGCCTGACGACAAATCCGCTTGCCACAAATGTCATAGAAATACACACATAAATACATAACAAGAACAAAATTATCAGAAGCGGCAGTGGCAGTGGCAGCGGCAGCTACAACAACAACAACAACATCTGCAGCTCAAAACGCTTCCATGCTGCTAAGCTAGCATAATTTGCACAAATAAACGCGCACACATAACATGCTTAAAAATAGATTACAACGGTATAAAGTTAACAATGCGCGAGCAACAGCAACAGCAGTAGCAGCAGCAGCAGCAGTAACAACAACAATATTAACAACAATAATAATAATAACAACAACAACAACAATAGTAGAATGAGCAGAAGCAGTAGTTGTGGTCGCATAACCCTCACAACCAACGACCCAACAAGCCACCGAACCACGAAACACCCTCTCCTGGCACCGCTTACATAAGCTGCAAATAAATTCGCGCACAAGTCAAAACGCAAACAAAAATTTGCTGCTTTCTATGGCATAAATAAAGTTTAAAATAAAGTAGAAGAAGCAGCAGCAATAGCAGCAACAACGACCAACGACAGCCACAAAGTTCACACGCAACGGACAAGCAAATGCGCTCTTAGCGATGGCCATAAGTCGTAACCGTAAGCGTGAGAAAATTGCAAATCTGCCAAAAATAATTACTGCTAAGTAACTAAGCAGTGCTACGCCCAAGATTCCAGACGATAATCGCCAACTTTCATCGCGAGCTAAAAAAAAACCCAGACTACATTCGGCCGAATGGCAGTCAATTTTAGTTTATAATTAATTATAAGCCCTTACATTATTTCACATACCTAAATATTTAAGAATTAACTTCATGAAAACTAATTTAAAATGTAAAGCAGCTACAATCGAAATACTAGAATTACACGATCTTTTAAATAGTTATATATTAAATACACTTTGCCCCTGCTATTAGAGAATAAAGTACTCTACGAAAGCGTTTTCTTAATTAAAATATGTCTCTATTTTGTATGGATAATTGGATTGATAATGTTTTAAAAACAGCCTCTTATTCAACGAAAGGTAAGCCATATCTAGTGTTTAGTGGCTGTTTTACAATTATAAGAATTTCCGTAGAATCTTTTTTGGGTGATTCCCATCAAGGAAAATTTTTGTATTAAAAAAGAGACAACATATTTAGTTTATATTTCACTATGGCACATTTTTCTTACAACTATGCATGAAGTTTTCCAAAGATTCTTCTTTGAGTCTTTCTCTATTAAACAATAGAAGCCACAGAAATACTTAGTAAAAAGTTTAGTCAAACACTTCTATTAAAAAAAATGCTGCAATCGTGTCTCAAAAAATGTTATGGTCACGCATCCATCTCCTTGCGGTATGTAGTTGGTAGAAAAAAGTCGGGCACGCCCGCATAAAAACACACTCACACACACACTCACACACATACCCTCACACATACACACGCCCACTTGGCTGCGTGCTAACAAACGTCATTTAAAAGTTATTTGACGTTAGTTGGTGTTTATGTAAAAGTGGCTGCAGGCATTCGCCGCGTTTAAACAAACTGTAAACGCACACAAACACACACATATACATATACATATGCACTTACGTAGTCACACACACACACACACACACACACACTTGCTTGAGCACGCACACACAATGAACTAAACGCTACGTGCTGATTACTGCAAACGCAAGGATTTTTGTGCAACAGCAGAGAGAAAAAAACAGGACGAAAAATACGAGAAGGCAAAGCCAAAGCAAGCCAAAGGAAGGTGTATGCCTGGTTGATGGGGAGAGTGGTGGGGGGTGGTGACCAAGCGACGGCTGAAATTAGTGAGGTCCTTATTGTTAGTTTAGTAGTTGTTTGCTAAGCATTTCACGCGGCACACACACACACACACACACACACAAGCACAAAAACACTCACTAGCACAGACACGTGCAAATGCCGCGCGCTTAACAAAATATTTAGCATGTGTGTAAATTTTAATACCTGAACAAAGACAAAAACAACAACAACCATAGCAGCAAACAAAGCCCCCACCACGTGTCTGTGTGTGTGTGTGTGTGTGTGTGTTTATTTTTGTTTGACTCGCACGTTTTAGATGCCTGGACTCGAGCATATTAATGTGCAAAGCTATGAAAGTATGTGCAACTGGATATGAAAATATGTACATATTTATCTATAAAAGTATAAATGTATATGTGTGTTTGTTTGTGGATGTGTTTTTGTAATTTAAGCCGAAACTGTTAACAAGCTGTTTGTTTGTTGCTGCCAACTTCTAACTGACGGTCAACAATCATAACTCATGTAATTTATTGTTCAACATTTGAGTTCCAGCCAAGAAACATGATGATGGAGAAAATAACGATTTTTAGCATAGTTATAACATGTCTATGTTAACGTTTTAATGCACCATTGCAAAAGAAACGTATTTGCAAGAGACAGTTACATATGGACTTTAAATATTTACCCAAGGTAGTCCTTCTCAAAAGTTTTTAATGCAAAAGTTGGCCAAATGCCCTGAATATGTCAAATATACTAACGATAGTCTCAGAACGTCAAAACATTTCAGAATCAAATTATAATTTCTTCAAATTTTAAATTTCCAAGAGAAATATTTCAATTGTTGAATTGTGATGGGAATTATATTCGTCTGCAATTATTCGTATTGCAATTATTATTTTAACAACGCATTTTAATCTGGCGGCCGGCAAAACCGTTTAAGGACTATTTATGTTTCATTTGCAAAAATAGAAGGTCAGAAAATAACGTTGTTCATAAAGTCGAATAAAAGTCTCCTAAGCTCAAAACCTTATTTCAACCCTACAGCAATTAGAATTCTTTTAAAATAATAGATAAATTAAGTGAGTGTCCAGTTTTAAGTCATACTACTGCTATATATACTATATTTCTAGCTACATTTGTGCACAACAAAAAATACATTAACAAAATGTCGAATGCTTCTGGCTTTAACTTCGATAATATTACACGGTAAGTAAGCCATAGATTTGCATCCCGATTTGCTAAGCCTCAGCGTATCCACGGATAGCAACACATTCCTCAAAATAGAGGGGCTTAAGGAGCCAAAGACCTTCACCACCGGAAGCACTATTGTGGGCGTAGTTTACGAAGATGGCGTCATACTGGGCGCTGGTGAGCAAGCCTCAGATGGTAATGTTGTGATATCGCATCAGAGCCGGAAGATACATCGTCTACAAAATAATATATAGTGAGTAGCAGGAGAAGAACACTCCATTCCATCCGGGAAAAGTTTAGCATATATATCAAAGAGATCTGCAAGTTTTGGTGATTGCGTGGTATTTGTAGGATGTTTCTGATGCGATTTAGGTACTAAACAGAAGTAAAAAAATAGATTCCTTAAAGAAAAATCACACCAAAGTAAGGCTCTTATTCGCCGTGCTTCTTCTTGATTACAACACAAGTAAGATCTGCTCTCTGAGAACACTCAGACCTTAAAAAGGCATAATGAGAAATATCTTTAAGTGAAATCAAAACGCATTGAATTGGTTCGGCTTGGTCAGATTTGGGTTCTCCATTGAATACTTCAGGATGTATATTATTCCCATATCTTTGCAGTTGCGGGGCTGCGGGTAAATCGGCCGATATCACATCGATTGTCGGGTTGCTTCAATCCCAGCTGAGGCTGCATTATTTGGAACCTGAGCAACCGGTACCTGTGGTGTGTGCCAACACATTTGCGAGGAACACCCTTTTCCATTCTGATGGGAATATTATGGCCAATTTGTTGATTGGGGGAGTCTGGAATGGCAAAGCGGAGCTTTATTGCACCTGGTATGAGGGTTGTTCCGAAAAGATTTCCTTTGCAAGCTTGGGCTCAGGACTTCTGGCAGCAAAGGCGGTCCTCGGGACCCAGTGGAGGAGAAACTTAGCAGAGGTCGATGCATTACAGGTAGTCCATCAGGCGGTGGCCGCCGGTATTGGAAACGATCCGAGTTCGGACGACAACATAAGTATCGTCGTTTTACGCTGTGATGGCAGCGTCGAACAAACCACTTTTCCCATTGGCTCGTTTTTTCCGAATAGCCGATTGGGTTCTACCCCGTCGGGTGGTTCAAGCGAATCAAGTCTGCCTAGTCGCGCATCTAGCTCGTCGATCTTTGAGATTCTCGCCGAGAAGGTTTCCTACAAGTTGAACAACCAAAAACGCAATGGTGAAGATGGAAACAAGTGCATGGAAGAAATTGCAGAGCCAACACAGCACAAAGCGGCTCCTAAGCGTTCTGGCAGCCCATCAGATGATGAGCCACCGATGAAGAAGCGACGTTGCGAGTAAGCGGTCGTGAATAACAAGTATATCTTTTACGTAAAACCATGGTTAATAGCTCTTTAATTATAATAAAGCATTCCACAAATTGGTTTGGTTTTCTTTTTTCTTAGAAAACAGACAAAAATTAATGATTTTATAACAAAAAAAAAGTAGAGTTTGGTACAAATTTTATTTAGGTGTGAACAACTAACCTAATTGTTCGTGTTAAAAAGTATAAAACATGTACAATTCTTAGTTCAATAAAGGTATTTCAACACTTTCAGTTTTAATCTTCGGGCACACTGTTGAAGAGTCTCAAAGCCTAAGAATTCTCACGTCCATCAACAAATCTCTTCTCGACCCAAGCACTCATTCCCTTTCTCTCATTCTCCCAAGCGAACGATTATTCATTCATGAAGCGATCGGCTCTCATGCACCAATAAGAAGGAGACGCATAACGCAGTACCCTTATGACGTCACAAGATCGATGGTTGATACGTAATTCATGAAATTGAGAAATTGAATGCCCCTCCATCCTCCCTCTCCACCGCAATTAGTAATCTTCCATAACTCCCGTAATTCGTGGAATTTCCAACTTAACGAATACGAATACCCTCAGTTTTTGATTATGTGTGCAAATGCCAAGTTTCATTATGATAGACCGATTGAACAGGAAGTTATAGCCATAACTATAATTGCTGACCACGCGCTGCCAGCAGCTGTTGTTGATGTTGGGGCTTTAGTTGACTGCAAACATGCTCACACAGACCTTTACACCCTTTACGTGAATTCCATATTCCTTCCATTCCAATAGATGTAAAATCATTTAACATTTTTTTTTAAATTTTCTTTACTTTTATTCTAAACATATGCACAGAGTATTTCAATGTCGGGATATCCGATTTTAGCTTTTTTACTTGTTAGTATATAGTATGTCTGGCATTGAATTGAATCACAATTTTGTGGCATTTATGTTTGTGAATACAATTTAGAAAATTTCGAAAAATATCAAATTGGCATTAAAGCTTTGAGACGTCTAATGCAGAGGCAGGACTTAAACAACACAATAGTGTCTGTCTAAGAAGGTGACAAGGACCCTGTACAAGAGGCTGTGTGTTCAAATATTTAAACGATTATAAAGCGCCGCTAGGCTTATGTGACAGCAGAAATCGTCGCGGCCCACACACACATTTATTCATACACACTTGAACTGCAAATAATGCTGCTCATTTATGGCTAATTGCTGTAAGACCGAGTCACTTGTTGTTCTATTGCTCATCAAAGTGTATTTTAAAAATTCAAAAGCAATGTTCAAATATTCTTAGAAATGTACAAATTTTGCTCTTCGCCTGCCTCTTATTGAATTGTCAAACAGAATCCTTGCGCACACAGTGTTTCTCTTTGGAAAATATGTAATGCTCGGAAACCTTGCCCCCAATTTTGTCCAGAAACAGGTTGCCAGCAAATAGAGAGGCTCACAATATTCCTTCTCTGATAGACTTCACATCCAAGTAGGCGACGCATATTATTCAAGGCTTTTTCGGTTTTTTTTAATAACAAAATGAAGCCTGAATAATGAACGCCAGCGATGGTTGCTGTTGTGTTCAGTAATTATACGAATTAGACTTCATTACATTATTCGAACATGCGCTCTTCATAAACTTGGAGTAACTGCTAATCAGTATTATAAGAGTATGTATGTACAAGTATGTAGCGACTGACCGCGCTGATTGATGCGAATTCAACGCATCTAATGCTGCATCCATAATCAGCGACATCACTAGACAAACAAAACACATTCCTGCTGCATTTTTGCGTGTGTGTGTGTGTGCTTGAGTGAGTGTGTTTATGTGTGTGTGTGCGCCTGAGAAAGAGAGAGAGAGAGAGGTTTTTTGCTCGCCGACAATCCAACAATTAGCTGCCATTTAGCGTGCACATTTTCTACAATCAACAAGAGGCCCCACCAACCCATGGCATGCACAAATCAACGGCACGCGCAACGCAACAATGCAGCCTCCTGCCCTCCAGTCTGCAGTCCACATCCTCAACCCTATCCCAGCACATCCCGGCCCATTTGCCGCCAGGCGACCCATAGTAGTAGGGCTGGAAAGTGTGTGTGCGTCGCGTGAAAATTGCCGGTCCTGTTCATTCGCATTGTCCTGTTGTGCCTGCTGCTCCCGTCTTGACTCCACGTCGCATTGAGGGCAAAACTCTGACAGGCATTTAAAAACGAGGCGTGCGCCTGGCAGGCAGTTGGGCAGGCCATTCTGCCATCCTGCCATCCTGCCATCCTTCTATTATGCCACTCTGCTATCCTGCTGTTAGCTGAATGGCATTGGCAATCAGCAGCGTTAGCTGATTGATTGATTGACTGAGTGAGCGAGTGAACGACTGAACGACTGAACGAGTGAACGAATGAGTGACTCACTCACTGACTGACTAGGCAGTCACTGCCTGCCCGCCTGATGGTTGCATGATTTATTGGCTATTTAGTTGGCAGCGTAAATTAGCTGCACAAACCAAAACTAAATGCTGCGTAACTGCCCCCCATGTATACCAGTGTACGTGTGTGTGTGTGTGTGTGTGTGAGTGTGTATGTACTTAGATGCGCCCCTTGCTAGTGTGTGCGAGTGTTGGTGTGTGTATCTTTAACCACTTAACAACTTTGCCGCGGTCGGCACTCCAAACAAGCAATTGCAACTCATTAAGCGTTGACTGCCGCACAACGTCAAAGTTTCAGGCAGGTACAACAAACAACACCAACAAAAACACTAGCCCAGAATGTAAAGGAAACTCCAATTGTCGACAAGTCGAATTCCGTTTACCCTACTGCTATACACCACTATGACAGTCCACTGACAACCGCCTGCTATCACTTTTGAAAATCGAAATTATAATTGAGTTCCTTAACATAAGAAAAAACTGAAATTATAAAATTAATTTAAACTATTTTGTGCTGAACTGTATGTATTTTCCTCAAACTAGATGCATCGGCTCCATATATACATACCTGTATAGCATAGATATAGAGAGATATTGGCCAAATAAAAGCAATTGATTTCTGAAAACTAGAAAGCAGAAGCACAGCTCAACAGCCCTGTATTTAAAATTATGAAATATAACATTTATAAATTTGAAGTATTTGCTAGATTCTCAGATCATTTGAATAGTTTGGTTAGTTTTTAGGATCTATTAATAATTCTAATGTATTATAAGTGTACCCTGTTCTGAACAAATTTTATGATCAAACATATTTCAGAATTCAATTTCAATTCCTTCGTACCAAGAGGCGATGTTTTCCATCAAAAATATCCTTAACATTCATCATCACACTTCCGATTTAATGAATAATGTATATTTAATATATTCAAATATTTCCAAGCTCATATGAACGACCAAATATATAAGTACACCTAATTACTTTTTTACACGATAGATTAGTTGCAGAAAAAACCGTGTAAAAAAAAACACTGATCAATGCAAAAATGGTGATTGGTTCCCTATCTCTAAAACCTATTAAAATCAGTGAAAAAGCAACGATTTATGTTTATTTTATTAAATCGCATATACTATATAACGTGCATAACGACCTATATAAGAATGGTTTCTACCTGTATGTTTTATTTATTTGTTTTGTGTTATTTTGAATCGTGCTAAATGGAATAAAGTTGTGTAACCATATAGAAAATTTTTAATTTTCAAACCGTGTCAAATCAAAACCATGTAAAACCAGAAAAGGTGTAATTTGTTGAAGACTTTTAATAAATGTAATGCATTTAACACTGTTTAGGTGTTGATTATGCGACTAGTTTTTGTGAATACTTTTTTTGGCAAACGACTCTGTCGGATAAGTGTGTGAAAACCTAACACGAATTCAACAAAAAGTTTCCGTACCTCTGGCCGTTGCTGCTTCTTCATCAGCATTTGCCGACACAGGACGTCGACTAGACGTTAACTAAACAAACTTTACGGCAGCAGCAGCAACAACGACAACAACAACAACAACAGCGTTGTAGGGGCTGCCCGTCTATCTGTCTGTCTGCCTGCCTTCTTCAGCCGCCCGCTCCCCCAACCCCCACCACACCTACCCAGCTTACCTGCTCCTTGCCTTTGTTTTGTAATTTGCACCTATCGATGTAAACTTTTAGCGCAATTTTCAACGCTCGAATCGAAATAGTGCCATAAAAGTTTTTTAATGAAAAAATTCGCAGCAGCCGGTTCCCCAGCTAAGTGGGGTCGTGTGGCGGGTTGAAGAAGTGTGGGGAGGGGGAGGCAGGGGAGGGGAGGGGAGGGGAGGCAGCTATAAGTAATGATAGCATACAAGTTGTTTGGATTGGACAGAGCAGGAGGTTCTGCATTTGTACATACAAGTACGAGTATATCTGTAAGTATGTACGAGTATGTCTGTGCCTGCCTTTTTCAATAGACAGCACATTAAATTTCACTAATAAAGCAAACAATGCGTGGCATCCACAAACACACACACACACACACACCAAAAACACACACACACAAGGTAAATGCCATAAGATGAGAAATTGTGTGTAGCATTTAAAATGGGAAGCACTGTCAGTGGCAGTGTCTGTTGCTGCTGCTGCTGTTGCTGTTGCGCTCTGTGCCACGCGAAACGTGCAACACTCATACGTCATGTTGTACGCAGCGTCGACGTCCTCAACAGTGGCACTGGCAGTGGCAGCATCACAACACGCACAATGTAATGGCATTTTTATGTTGCATCACGTAGCGGTCATAAGTCATGTTTAGAGCACTGACTGCTGCCTAGGGCTGTTGGAGGTGGTGGTGGTGCTGTTGGTGGTAAGAAGGGCCGTGGCATGGGGAGGGGACTTGCCATTGTTTTCGCCGCCTGTCTATCTCGCTCGCCGGCTCGTCTCGCTGTCCATCTGACTTGTCTAAAGAGCGATTCGAACTCAAATGAACTGTAGCTAAATTGGCTTCTTCTGATGCCTGCCGCCCGCCGCCCGCCGCCCGCACCATCCTCAAGCACCTCCCCCAAATGTTCATCTGCCCGGCTGTCAGTCAAAGCGCCCACGCATAGCTTAAACGGATATTACAAGGTGATGGCCAAACATTGACCGTACATGAGCT